TTTAGAAGCGTAGCAAGGGAGTACGGTAGCCCCCATAAAAAGTACGTAAAGAGCGTCACGATTTTTGAGCCCAAAACCTAGAACAATTTGCTTTTGGGCGCTAATTCAGGGGGGAAAGCGCACGCCGGCGGGTGGCCCGAATTTCGTATCCCCTGGGAAAAAATCGGGGCTCAATCCGGGATTTGACTAGACCTCAACCCGCACGAAACATGGATTTTTAAACGAACGAATTAAGGATTAAATTTAAGTGATTAAAATGAGGAAATCCACCTCAACAATCTCTGCTAGCCTGCCCTCTCCTCTCCCTCAACAATCTCTGCTAGCCTGCCCTCTTCTCTTCCTCAACAGTCTCTGCTAGCCTGCCCTCTCCTCTTCCTCAACAATCTTTGCTAGCCTGCCCTCTCCTCTTCCTCAACAATCTCTGCTAGCCTGCCCTCTCCTCTTCCTCAACAATCTCTGCTAGCCTGCCCTCTCCTCTTCCTCAACAATCTCTGCTAGCCTGCCCTCTCCTCTTCCTCAACAATCTCTGCTAGCCTGCCCCTCTCCTCTTCCTCAACAATCTCTGCTAGCCTGCCCTCTCCTCTTCCTCAACAATCTCTGCTAGCCTGCCCTCTCCTCTTCCTCAACAATCTCTGCTAGCCTGCCCTCTCCCCTTCCTCAACAATCTTTGCTAGCCTGCCTCTCCTCTTCCTCAACAATCTCCGCTAGCCTGCCCTCTCCTCTTCCGCAGCATAGCTCAGCCGACTAATACGCTTCTAAAAAATTTTATCTAATTTTATTTTTGAAACATACAATAATTTTATGGAAAAACCGTTTTTCAATAATTCTCTTCTTATTTCCTCAACAATCTTTGATATCCGGCCCTAATCTTAAAGTTTGCACGTTTGCAAAGACCTTTCGCCTAAATGACCTTTCGCCAGCCTAAAAGAGCAATTTCGGGGGGTATTTCTCGGTTCAGCCGGGTTCGAAACCTGGGGCCTGGGCAAATATTGCCCACGCCGCGGGTGCGAATTTTCCCATTTTCACGCCGGTTTCGGCCGAAAACACTCGATTTATTCTCGCTTGATGGATCTAGGGAATTTATTAACACCGGCGCAAATGAAACTAATTGTTTGGATCTTTTAGTTTTTTATAACAATTTTGTAACATTTTTTAGCAAAAAATGGCCAAAACATGGCTTGTTCCTTTTAAAGGGCCAGGGAAGGCACCACTACAGATGGGTGTCCTTTATAATATCTTCAACGGGATCGAGAGCCAATTAACTAGAAATCGATTGGGATTATTCTGCACCAATAACGAAAGCCGTATTAGCACTGCCAGTTTTTCGTTTGTCCAGTGACATTTTGAAACATCTGGTGATAAAATTTTGATCTGCTAAATGTAGCGACAATACCTTTTTTGATTTAATTATTTAATTTTCTTGCTGATACTTTCCATTCATACATTTCTGAATTTAAAACGTGATTCGAAGTCATGATTAAAGAAGAAGTTTTACGTCACCCTAGGAGTAATTTCGAAACATTTGCTTCCTAACAATTTGGGCACATGGGTTTGTTTTTACTTTCCGTTCCCCAACAGTTTTTCGTTGCTATTTTATAGCACGCTACGCATCTTTACACCAAATTTTTGCGCAATTTAGCATGGTAAATGAGGGAATTTTTGGCCATGGCTGTTGACAACCTACGGCCGTCCCGGTGGTCTTGGCAGCCTCAATTTCCCCGATTTTTTTTCAATTATTAGCATTTTCTGGGGCCCCGAGTAAATTATTAATTTTTGGGCGGCGAGGGTGTAAATAGGGATTTAGTGGAATTTGTAGCGCAGCTATTTTAGAATACTTTAATATACGTTTCACCGATTTCCAAAATGTGGTATTTAAATTTCGACGAAACACGTTTTTAACTCTTTCCGTTATGTGAGCCAAAAGCGCAAAGAGGAACGTCACGGAATCCGTAGCATCGACTTTGTGTAGTATTTTAATTCCCGATTCTACCTTTTGTAATTAGAGTGATTTTTCAAGTTTGAATTGTGGGACAAAATGCCTTGCCACCAAATTTGGCGGATTTCCACTTTTGACGAAACTCATTTAATTTTCCGGACCCTCCCATCTTGACGTGGGGGCGGCGTGAGTAGGAATTTAGCGGGATTTGTATTACTATAATTTAAGAATGCATTAATAAATAGACGCAATATTTAAGCAATCGTTTTAACTGGCCTTATAATTCGTGAAACTTGGAAATTGCCTATCGACAAAATTTGAGAACTGAACTTTTGCCGAAACCCATTTTTTACACTTTATATTTATTTTAACAAAACTGCTTAAATTTTTTTCTAATATTCTTTTTGCTCTTCGACAATACGACAAAATAGCAGTAAATAGTTTTTGAGCCACGGGGGGCTGTCGGTGTTGATTTAAATCCAAAACTAACTGTAACCGTTTTTTGTTGACCGTGGGATTTCGATACGTGAGATAGCACATTTTGTGCAGAATTTTTCGCTGATTTCGAATCCGTGTTCAAAAGTTGCGGAACCCCTCTAGATAAAAAGTTACAGCCGGTTTTCTACCCCAAATGACCGAAAATTACAAACTTTAAATCCTTATAAAAAACTCGTGGAACATTTTGTGGGATAAAATACAGCACTCGTAGGGGTAAAAAAACGTGCTCTTTCGAATGGGCTACCTCACGAACCCGTAGCTCAAAATTCATGAAAAAAAGTTTTTCGGTGGGCCAATGCCCTGGACGGCCAATTTTTGAAATTTTGTGAATTTTGAGCTAAGCTACGGATTCGAAATCAGCGAAAAATTCTGCACAAAATGTGCTATCTCACGTATCGAAATCCCACGGTCAACAAAAAACGGTTACAGTAAGATATTAAATTAATTTAACTTTTTAACAATATTAATTAAAAAATTCGTCGACAACAATGTGCGCGCAATGGGCCGAATTTTTTTGGGAACCAAAACCTATAAATTCGAAACATGTTTTTCCAAATGTCTAAATCGTAAAGTTGACGTAAATTTGGTCAGTTTTCCGGGAACTCCTTCCCTGTAAATAAATAAATTATAGGCTCGAACTCACGAACTTTCACGGGAGCGGGAGAAATCAGAATCCTACTCGGACAAATTTTTAATTAGGTGCAAACTGGAAGCTGGCTACTTTTGCACCTTAAAAATAGTAATAACAGTAATTAGTATAAATATAGCTTTTAGGGCAGGCTAGCAGCGACTATTTAGGAATCCATCCGTGGTGATTTGAAGAAATTTTTGAGCATTTTCAAGAGGGAATTTCACTAACTAAATCGGTTGCTCCGAATATAGAAAATTTTCTGAAACATATTTTTGTCGAAAACCTCGGAACTGGATTTTTTAAATGGGAGCCTTAACTTTAAATTGTTATATTAAAATTTAAATTAGCTCCAAAACTACGAATTAGAAAAAACGATTCTAAAGATTCTTCACACTTTTTATTCCATTGAACTTTGATTTTTTACCTTTTCTCACATCATTGCAATTCTAAAAATTCTCCATTTTTCTTAATATCAGCATTTCCATTGAAAATATCATTATGTTCGCCCAAAGATGGGATCCATTTGTCAGCGTCGAAACATCATTTCTCATCAGTCACGCCCACGGATTCGGAAAAAACCGTGCTTTACGGTTTTCGGGGCTCGACACGTTTTGCAGAACTTTATAAGAATGTTGTATACTTGCGCTCTAATGAAAGCTGGTTTTAACAAAATTCTTTTTAATAATTTGCCGATTTGCCTTTAAGAATTATCTATTTAATTCTAATTTTAAACTATTCAAAAAATTCTTGGTTTCCTATTGTACGTTATCAACACATTTCATTATCTATGATTTTGGAGATGGTTACTGTAGCTTTTGACAAAAATGTAAATTATTTTTGTTTAGGATATGGGGCACCTTGCGAAGTATTAGTGTCCCCAAATTCTTATTCGAATTTTTTTATATCCAAATACAACAGAAATAAAAAATAAATGTCCACTATGTAACATCTGCTAGCAATGAATTTCAAAATTACGCCGGTGCCTGGAATCGTTTTGAAACATGGCATTATCCCAAAAGTCTGCTTTGAAGGCAAGTGAGCGAGCGGTGGGGCTTTAAAAACCTATTAGATTTTTTTTATATAGTATTAAAATATCTTATTTGTTTTTAGATATGCATTAAATGATGTTGGCATACTATTTGATTTTCAAGAAAGGAGGGCATAGAATTATGGCAGAAATCTGTTTCGCGTTTTAAGATTCTTTAGAAACATAATTTTTCTCAGAAAAAGATTTCCATGGTCGTCGTGGCATTTTTTTTTTGATTGACACAATGGGCATTTATTCAATATGAGTGTTTTTTTGTGTTTTGTAGTCAGATATGCATCACTAAATCGTCAGACTTTTAAACCCTACTTATCACTCAGCTGATATAACGATTTTGATATTGGCGTAAGTGGAATGGAAAATCCGTTCACGGCATTTCCATGTCATCCGCTCCTAGAAATTTTTTTGGTTATTACCGTAGTCCGGCGGGGGGCGGATAATATTAACGCAAAATACAAAAGATTTGACGTTGTCAAGATTCAACAAAAGTATTTTTTAACTTTTATGAAACATTCCGTTGGTAAGAAAATTTACCCTGGAAAGTAGAACTAATTACCCAGGACGCAGAATTAACTCTATTTTACATTAAATCGCTGTAAAACCTTTTTGAAAGTCAATTTTTTAACTGCTGGAGCGACCATCCCACCCTTTTTCGCTAATTATATTTTCTATCGACGCTTCATCAATATTTAAATTGATGTAGTGGCCAAAATCGTACGGTATTAAAGTAAAAAATTTTTCGGAGTGGTGGCATTTTCTTGAAACATTTTGTTGTTTCTTTTCCCGGATTGTTTTGTATTATTTGCTATCATCAGACCCATATTTCCCGTTCTATAATTCTGATTTCCGCTTCATCAATTCAACCCCACAATTTTTCGCTTTTCAGAAAAATGGAGCCCGGCGGGCCGGCAGAGTCCGCGTGTGCTACCGAAAATGTTGGCTACGACTTTGTCAGGTATGCAAGGGCTAAGCTTGGTACTTTTGCATTATCGGCGGGGGGGGTTAATTTTTCCTGTAAGTTTACAATGCCTAGGGATTAATGCATAGTGTTTTCCTCAGTTAACTATATTCAAAGTAAAACCTATCTAAAAAAACATGAAAATTTTGAAATTTTGGTCGGAAATCGGCTTTTTGTGGTTGAAAAACTATATTTTCTATTTTCGAATTTCTATAATTTAATTTGTGTAGTTTTTATGCTTAGGAATAGGAAAAAATTGTGAAACACTTCCTCTGTTTTTGAAGAATTGGATTCTTGGAAAAAGCTGGTCATTCCACCCCCGTTAACGCAAAAGCTCCTTAAAATAATCCCAATCATTAAATATGCTATCAACCATCATTTTAACTTATTAAATTTGTTACCTATCTAGATTTGGGCTTATCGTCTACATCGGCACGCCCATCGCGATCCTGGGCGTGCTGTGTAATTGCGTACTTTTTGTAGGTTTTTCATAATTTTGAATTTTTACGATTTAACAATTTTATAAATCCAATTTCGATACATTTTTAGCGTCTATTTTCGAAGGCGAGAAGCCGGCGGTCGCCCACGTTGTATTTGCTAATATTGGCGACATTCGACCTGTTGATGGACCTGTTCTACGTGCCGTTTTTTACAGGTTTGAAATGTGGGAGAAATCTGTCGTAATAGGGTTTTACAATTAATTTAATAAGTTATTTTATATATAGTAGGATCGGAAACTGCACGTTATACATTTCATTATTATGTTTTTATATATTTTCCTTAAAATTTGAGCTTATTTATTTCGAACAAATGCGCTGTTGTGAATATCGGCACCAAACCTTTCTGACTTCAAAATTTTTTGAAACATAATTTGTACCAGATATGTTTTTGTCGAGATTTTGACGTTTAGTTAGCCGCATCGTAAATTAGGTCGATTTTCTTTTAGTATTTTTGCTTATTTATTAAAAAATAAGCTCAAATTCCGAAAACGCTAACGAATTACATGGAAAAATCAATACCATTTGAAAAAATTGAAGTGTTTCATGAATTGAGTATATCGGAAAAATTACTTTTTTTATTAATGCATATCAAGACATTTGAATTTAATGAGTTTTAAGAGGAAATAAAGAGCGTAATCAAAAATCCGTGGCAATTCGGGAGTTTTATAAAAGTGTGGACAATTTTGATGGTTTCAAAGCTTGCGTATATCTAGCAAAAATTATCGTTTAAAATTTAATTTAATTTAAAAATAGCGGGGTTTTTTTAAGCGATTTCCTTTAATTTTCAGTTGACGCGCTGGCCATCTACGGGGAAAACGTGATGCTGCACGAGATCTGGCATACGTACGCCATTTTTCTGTACGGCGCCGGGAAGTTGGGTACGTTTTTTAAGGCTATGGGTGTTGGATGATTTCAGAAGATTTCAGATGAATGTCAATATTTTAATTTGTTGGCATTTTGGCATAGGTTTTTGGGTTCCCGGGGTAAATATCGATATTATGAAATTTCGAAATCAAGACTTTGATGTTTCGGGAGCCACATTACTTACAATTATAATCCGATCCACAATAATTATGCCATAAAATTGGGAAACATCGTTTGTTTTTCAAGAATTGCCGAAATTTAGCCCACGACATCTAAAAAAACACATCCTAACAAGAATTTCCATAAACTTAAGACAATAGTGTCATTTTGAGTCTGAAAATCTTATTCCCTATTTTTCCGCTCCGGAATTTTTAAAATCGGCGAACTAGCAGAGATCATTTCGGGGCTAGATGCCTTAATTGACAAAAATAAAAATAAAACAAGAGACGGATTACGGTAATATGCTTGAAAATTCGCTTCTTTAAAGCTTTTCAGCCGGGGCAGGCTAGCAGAAGTCATTTGGGAATTAGTCATGCTGGTCTTAAAAATTAAATCAGGGATGAAAAGGTAATTTAGGATGGCTATACCCAAATTCAATCAAGTTTGTATGCTTGTTTTGAATGGTTGAGCTGGGGCAAGCTGGCAGAGGTTATTTGGGACTTTTGAAAAACCTATATTACAACAATTTGCAGTCCAATTCGCCTCCACCTACATTGTGCTCTGCGCCACCATCGAGCGGTTCATCGTCGTGGCCGAGATCCATTCGCTCGACTTTTTGGTCAGGTAAGATTTTTGGAATCAACTGAAACCGATGATTAGGAAAAACAAGGTTCAATTGTCTTTAAAATTTTATGAAACATAGAATTGAGTTTTGCGCTCAGAAGTTTTATTATTAGCGATTACGATAAATGAATTCCCATTAATCAACCATTTCTTTTACAATGTTTTATGAAAAATATTTTTCAAAAAAATCCGGAATACCCAGTAAAAACTGAACATTATTTTTTTAGGTCTGCTACCGCTCCAAATGACTTTTAAGATTCCTTTTCATTACCTTGATTGATCCCAACGCAACATTAACAAAAACTAGCTTCTTGCATTTGTGCCATTTTTCGAAACATTAAGTTTCAAACTGCTTCGTTCCCAGAAAAGTGGCTAAAAATTTTCGTGAGTGTTTTTGTATTTTAAGATTCTTTTCTTTATTTTTCGCCCAATTAACAAAATTCAGCTGCCCCGATTTGTGCCATTTTATGAAATATGATTTCGAATAAGAAAAAAAAAACAATGTGTTTCGATTCTCAATGTAGCTGTTTTTACATTCGATCCAGAAGAAGGTATTGTTCTGAAAATATCAAACCGCATATCATTGCTTTACGAAACGTTTTTTTTCCCGGTAAATTTTGTTATTTTGAGCTGCTGAAGAAGTAAATAGGTGCCAACAAGATGTTCTGAAACCCATATTTTTTACAGCGAACGCGGCCGGTACTGTACGATCGGGGTTGTCCTTTTTGGGGTATTCCTTCTTCGACTGCCCGCCTTCTTCGAGTACACCATCGAGTATCTGCCGAAGTGTGCTGCATTTCAGGTAATGGGGAATATTTATTGAAAAGCCTGTTTTAAAGTTATTATAAGAAAATTAGGCAGAAATATATGTGTAGGCGAAACTGCGACTATTAAATTCATTCACCTATAAAAAGTGTGGTAAAAAGTTGACACAGATGTTTTGGCTAAAACGCTGAATTTATGTCCTTACATTAAACATAGAAAGTTTAAGTTTAAATTCTCAAGAAAACTGCGTTTCTAGAAATAGTAAAATAGAATAGAATTGAACTGAATTATTTCCTGACCAAGATTTTAATAATATTCTAAAAGCACTTTAAAAAATTAAAACGTCAACGCCACCCCGTGCCATTAAATTTACTTAGCTGTAAAAAGCAACGATAAAAATTGAAACATCGAATTTGGAAAATTTTTGCAAAACCTTTGGCCGGGACCTTCAGGTTGTTCGAATCGAATTGAAAGAATTTTTTATTGTTTTTTTTTTCTAATTTTTGACGATATTGGAAGCAGTAATAATTCCGAAAGGAATTAGAACACCGCTTAAAAGCCGAAACACACGGAAAAACCGAAAAATTCAGCTCTCGACCCATAATTGCATTTTTGCTTAAACTTTGTGATGTGTTCACGTTCAGGAATTGTTAAAAAATCATATAAAAGAACGAATAAAAAAATAGATTTTATCAAAATCCATGCTGGAGCGGACAAATCTCAAATGAATACGGAATCAGAGAAACCAACAAATTACGCGTGCTGATTTGTTGAAATTGTCACAATTCAAAATTGACGTTAAAATACAACGATTTTTCAGAACTACGAATTCAAGCCGTTGCTCAGCTCCGAGGACAACTACCGCATCTACAACTTTTACGTGATGACCGTGCTGCACATTTTCGTGCCGTTTGCCCTGCTGCTGCTGCTCAATATTTCGATCGTAGCCGTGACGAAGAAGTGGGTTTTCTAACTTTAATTTATAAAAACAGAATAAGCAAAAACCAGTTTCACCAAAACTTAAAAAAGTATGTTTCGCATAATTTCCGTGCGAGACTGATTTTATAGGTCGTAATAATAACTTCAGTAATTTTCGAAATTTTCGATTTTGTCGCTCGTTTGTCGGGATTTTTGCGACACGATTTGATAGAGCATTGAAAGATTTCCAAAGTGTTTGATTCAGAGCTATAAATACTTGAATATAAAATAGTAACAGCAACAACAATAATCGTAAACAAAACAAATTTAATAAAATTAATAAAGCTAGTTTTCGGCATGTTCGATTTTTTCTAATTTTTTTACGTCGTCATTCGATGAAGCATCAAAAAATGTAGGGAGATTTGTAATTTCTCCTCAAAATAACTAAAAATGAAATAGTTATGGTCAAAAAAAACAAGAAAAATTGCTGGAAAAAGCTGTTAAACGCTATAATTTAAGGTAGTAGATTTTTAACGTTTTTAAGCTCGGTTTAAGCCGACCCAACCTCTTAAAATCCGTAGGGAATGCAGAGCCACAAAATTCATCCCGATGCTTTCCCGGTTCCTTTAAACCCCAATTTTGTATAGAAAACTTCGACACATCGGCTGGGCGGCCACCACCTTCATCGACATGCCCAAGATCACGGAGCTGATCCGGAAAGGTGCGTTTTGAAATTACAGTATTTTTACAGAATTAATACATTTTTTAAAGAAATTAAAAACAAAAAATCACAAAATAAACGAAAAAAGAAGTTACAGAACTTAAACAGAACGACCCAGAAGACATTATTTCACTGAATTTTCTCGGAGAATCCAGTTTTGTCGAAACATATCTTGTCAAAAAAATTTTCAATGATTTTGCATATTTTGTGTTTGGTTTAAATAAATTTTGTATCTTTTAAATTTTGCAAATTTTGCTTGCTCCAATTTAACAATTGAAGAATTAATTAAATTGAAATTTAAGAAAGCTTGACCGCCGAATTTGAAATAATGCCAAAATTAAGCTGGTATTTATATATTTTATTGATTAGATTTTTACAACACATTTATTTAAATTTTAAAACTTGAAATAATTTAATGTTTAAAGGTTAACATCGTTAAAAATGCTTTTAACGGTTTTCTGAGATTTTCAGCGAAAGCGAACTGCCGTTTGTCGTGTTGCGGAAAACATCAAGGTCGTAAAATCCAAACTACGCAGCACACGCTTTGGTTAAAACGCTATGATTTCTGAAATTGAAGCATGCGATATTGGATGAATTTTAAGTTGAATTTTTGGTTCTGGTGTCGAATTTCATATCATTTGGTATATCGCTGGCCTTCAGCAAGTACGGGATTTTTTGAAAAATTATGTTTCATTAAAATAGCGAAATCAAGAATTTTTCTGCGAACCAATTCACTCGGGCATTTTAACCGAAATAAAATCTGAAGAAAATAGCTTGTGTTAGCAAAAGAAAAGACAATTTAACTAACTTTTAACTAAAGAAAATTTAAGAAACGGGGGGGGGGGGCTTTTTAGCGACGATTTCGACATTTGATAATTTCATTTGTAAGCCTCTGAAAAACGGTTTGGCGAAGGTAAATTTTTAGATATACATGAACTCTGCAAATTTTGGGGCGGTTCTTTAATACAAAAAATGAAACATCTGGTAAATCAAAAGTTCAAAAATGGCGTTGCGTTTACAAAAAGTGTTTCATTAAAAATACAGATTATAATTCATTAGCAAACTAACATTCAATGCTATTACGAAGCGCGGTTGGCCATTGCAGTGAATTTTATTTCTAATTTTGAATTTTAGATGTATTTTTGATGTTTTGAAACGCCATCTACAAATTTTAATTTTCTTCTCGCAAAAAAGCTGTTTCAACAATTAGCAAAGCGTGATGCCTTGAGTTGGCAGTATTGAAGTGAAGAAGAACCACACGTTTCAAAAATACCGTTAAAATCCCTAAGGCACTGCTAAACGGCTACGCAAATTTGCAAGGCCCAGGTGAGCCCCCCCCCCCCCCCCGATATTGCACCAACACCATTCAGTCAATCCTAGCTCTAACAAGTTCTGGAGTTCTCTCGTAAGTTCTCTTGAAAGTTTTGGACTTACGTGGCCCTTTGGAAAAAGCAGGTTTCATCCAAGGGTAAAGTAGGCCAATCTTTGGCGCATGGCCTTGATTGCGGTACTTCAAAAAGTCCTTTAATAATAATACTTTTTTCACCGTTTTTCAGTAGTGTTTGATTGCTAGATATTAAGAAATATTTAGAAATTAAAAACGTTGATTTTTTTGGCCATTTGGCATACATTTTCACCAATCAGCCAAGAAATTTTAAATTTTTTCTAAATTTTTCTAAGGTTTTTATATCTGTAAACTTGGTAAAAAACTACAAAAATGGTTTATATTGCGTTAGTCACTGACGCCGTCAGATGGTTAAAAGAGAACAATACCACCACCCCCCCCCCCGTTAACAGTCCAGTACCAAAATTTTCAGTTTAGCCGAAATATTTCGTGTGTGTCTTTTTTAAATGCCTTCCGGAATGCGCGCACGCAATTGTTTGCATTAAAAAATTTAAGTTTCGCTCACGCCTATGATTTATTTATTGATTTATTTATTTTTGCAAATTAATGTACCGATTTTGCAGAGTCAATTTCCTCGGCGAAGAAGCGGCGGGACGAGCTGCGGTACGCCACTTGGACCATGGTGTCCATAGTAACGTCCTATCTTTGCTGCAACACTTTTTCGCTATTTATTTCGGTGGGTTTTTGCGGGGTTTAAAGGGGTTGACAAGGCAAGCGATACCCGACGCATTTGCATCTTTTGCATTACCGGGGGGGGGGGGGGGGCTTTCTCTAAGAATATTTAGGCCTACAAATGTAATAGCAAACGCTTTAATACTTTTGAATTCAAAAAAATTGCAATGTTTTAGATGAAAAACTACTTAAAAATCTTATGCAAAATGCTAAATTTTAAATTTCTTGAAAAATTGGATTTTTTGAAATTGTTAATAAAAGTGTGTCAAGTATAAGTTAAAGCAACCTCAAATCAACCTTCCAATCTCAAAAAATTACAGATTATGGAAAACTACTTTGCGGACAACTCGCTGATGTATGAGCCGGATGGGAGCAGGTGAACTTCTTTACTAATAAGCCTTGAAAATACCGTACCTACAAATTTGCTGAAACATTAAAAATTCTTTTATTACAGCATCTTTGTTATAATTGGAAGTATACAAGACAACTTTTACTTTTGCATCAACAATGGATTCATTAATCGCTTCCGAAAATTAGGTGAAGCCTCTAATTTCTAAAAATTATTGTTTATATTGTTTTGCGAAATATTATTCTTAGAACAAACACAAATTCGGCTACAAAATTGTGCACGCTAAAGTTCGAAAAAAGTTTGCAATGTTTCATTTTGTGCACATAAAGTGCCGAAACGATAATTTTCAATTATATAAAACTCGATAACGTATATAAAATTCAGTACTCAATTCTACACGCTCACCAGCGACCTGTGCTCAATTCTGGTGGCGCTGAACTCGTTGCTGCGGTTGTTCATCTACATGCTGTGCTCGCCGTCTATACGTGCCGAGCTGATCAAGGTAGATAGTTTTCGGAATTAATCTGGACTCATTGGGATTTTAGGCATTTATTTAAGGCATGATTTTACAAAAAACAATACGCAAAGCGAAAACGCCAACAACGTTCAATTAGAAAACATATAATATTTTTGTTGTTGTGAAAAGTTGCAAGCCTTTATTCTAAAAAAATTAAGCTTAACTAGAAAATAAACCCTAATATAATTTTATGTTTACTTTTTTGCGATTAGACTGATTTATATTAATAATCCTTTTCAACGTCCATAAAATAAAACATCTGTTTTTAAGCTTTAGTGCCGTAAGTTTTGACTTTTTACTAAATTTGTATTCTAAAAGGATTTAAAGACCCATGAAGGCAAAAAAAACACAGGAAAATGGAGTCGAAATTTATAGATAATAATAAATCTTAATATTATGCAAAATCCGCTTTTAAAGGACCACCGAAGGCAAAATCCAAAAAAATTGAAAATCTTTTCAAAATTTTTAAGGACGTTATAGGCAAAATTCCAATTTTTTCAGCAATGCCCACTCTTTGCCATTTTCGAGGGTAATCTACCGAAACATGGCGGAATTTGCTGCCGATTGGGCCTCACCAAAAAGCCACAAAAAACCACGGTGCTGACTACGAACAACAACAACAACGCCCTGGACGACGATGGCTCCTATGGACGGGACTACCGTAGATCGCTAATTGCTGCCGGCTACGAGCAGAACGGCCAAATGTTGTAGTCTGCAGTTTGTAGCCCATGGCCGTAAACACCGCCCACCTGTCAAACTCAGCGAATTTTGTGAATTTTATTCGATTTTTTTAATTTAAAAAATTGCCATATTTTGACTTGATTTTATTGATTTCTATCGACGCGATAAATGCTCAATCGGGAAATGGCCGGCTTCAATCATACACTTCAAAATATTTTTATAAAAGTGAAATTATGAAACATGTTTTTGCAAAACTTTGCGAAAATTTTTACGCTAAAATTGCGTTCAAAATCTGTTATACGGTAAACAAACTGAAAATGCAAGACCACGCAATAAAATGCAGAAATCTTAGTAAATTTCCAAAGTTTTTTAAAATGAGGAATGGCCAATGCCCACCTTACACATATTGGCAAATTGACACATTCCCGATACAAATAATATTTTGAAACATGTTTTTTTTTTCTGAAGGGACGTAATACAATAAATTCGGTGTATGGATCATTGCATATAAATTAATTTAATTAATTAATACCATTCAATTTAATCTCATCCGTATAATCTAAAAAGGTTTTTCATGGGTTTACGAATCGCGAAACGAAACGAAAAACGAATGTTTAGTTTTTTGGCAGTGATGGTAAACTAGCTTTTTGACTGAAAGTTTTAATGAGAAATGGAAACGGCATTTGTATACTCGAATGATAGGCCTTTTCAGGTTGGTAAGCAGCTATTGTACCTCTACCACCCGCCTATAAAGTGTATCTGCTCAAAACATATGTTTTTACCGGGTTTTTTTCTTTTAGTTGACCTATTAAAATTCGTTTCATTGCATTTAAATTTATAAAATACAATAGAAAAATTGTGAATTGCTATTTTAGGTAATCATATAGATATATGCAGTAACTAATAACTGTGTTTTCCTATTATGGAACCCGCATCGATTCAGGCTTTTCGCGCTCAATGTCAGCAATCAAACATTATTTTAACTATACCATCACCCTGTAAAGTGTCGCTCAAAGAAACACATATTTTTCCTGTGTTTTGTCTTTTAGCTGTTATAAAACTTAGATTTATCGCATTAAATTTATAAAAAAAATAGAAAATCAAATCATTGCTATTTTATATAATCAAATATTTTATATAATCAAATAAGTAAATATAAGTTATAAGCGGTAATTAATTTAATTCAGACTTTTTGGGCTTAGCAACGAGTCATATATTGTATCTACACCATCGCCCTGTATATTGTCTCCACTCAAAACACGTATTTTTAACCGGCATTTTATTTTGAGTTGCGAAGGTTATCTTTATTACATTAAAATTCATTCATCAATTCATTACAACGAAAATTAATTAATTGCTATAGCTGCAGAAATTAAAACAATAGTTTCCCATTATGGAACCTGCACGGCTTCCGTTTCTTCATACGGGGGCGGGGCTTGGTTGCTCAGCCCGCTGGTGGACGGCTTCGTGTCGGGGGTGCCGATTTTGCCGCAACGGATCAGTTCCTGGAACCTAGCATTGCTTTATGATTTATCTGCATCATTTCGAATAAAGCCATCGCAAATTGTTTTTTCTTAAAGAAATTTGAAACATATGAAATTTAAAAATGCAGAATTTTTTGGGATTTTGATATTGAGGAGAACAGCTATAATTATCTAGATAAGCAAAGTGATAAAATACATTGACCGGATGAACTAATGATATCAAAAATTTTTACGTTTTGTCTAAATTTGAAAGATTGAGTAAAAAACCCGAAATTCAATATTAAATTGTATCGACCATTCATTAAAAAAAGACGGACAATTACCTCGTTATTAGTATTGTTTCCTCAGAAAGTGCGGCCTTTTTAATCTACGTTCTTATACCTTGATCCTATATCTATTTTATTGAATGTCTATTTAAATTAATTTATGCAAGGCCATTTAATAAAGTGCATACCTCAAATTTCTTGCTGCCAATATTCAGGCCGTCGGCCATTTCCTCAGATAGACATGTAAAATCCTCCATGAAGCGCTCGTAGTTCTCGATGGCCACCTCGTACTCGGAAATCGACTTGGACTCCCCGATTTTCAGCCGCAACTCGTCGCCTTTCTGAAAAATGGTGGAATTGCTTCTTCTTATTAGAAAATTATTTTACCTTAAATTTATTCGTTCTACCTTAAAATTGGATCGGGTGATTGAAATAAGAAATAAACAAAAACATTTGAAATCTGGATGAAAAATGGCTGATCATCAACAACTCTACGGAAAATGTGTTCGGCAATCGGCAATCAATGTCGGTGCCTTGCAATTTTGAATCATATGCGTTGATGAAACACATTTACAGAAACGTAAAAATTCGTAAAAGAGAGTTTTAAATGCCAAATTTAGGGTTAAATAGTTTAATTGAATGCAAAGTAAAAATTTTTAGGATGAAGTTTTGATTTAATTTGCCCATTATAAATAAATTTAGCTTAGTTACCCTAAAAAAATTTTAGTTACGTTAATTTTATACAAAAACTTTTGGTGGAAAGTCTTACATGAGAAATAGTTACTCGGTTGGGGATTGTCGAATTTAGCAATAGGCAAATTGAGCTATCGGTTTGACTTTAGGCTGGCAGAATTAAAAATTAAACATTTAACTTCAAATTTAAACTAATAAATTGTTTTTATATTGCTAATGTTCTTCACGATACCTTAATGGCCTCCTCGTGCTGCCCCTGGAGCCGCTTGAAAATGATGAGGCGCTTCAGGAATTCCTCCGAGCCGCCCTGCGACTGGTGGCCAATTTCCTTGGCGTGCGATTCGATCTGGGATGACGAATTGAATTAAAAAGTATATAAAAATACCTAAATCAAATAGTTAACGAAAATTATAAAATAATTTAAAATTTCAGCACGATCCAAATAAAAAAATAGCATTTTAAGTACGGTGGATGTAAGATATTGAACAAACAAAAAATTCCCCACCCTCGAGTTTTTGATGAAACATTCTTTTTCTCAATGTGAAAGTAAATGTAAATTAAAAACTTCGCTTTTTCACACCACCTTTTAAACACAGAATAAAGTGGATTGACGCACTAATAGACCTTATATTTTTTATACATTTCCCTAGCTGTCAGCCCGCCTTTAAACCCCCACCATGATGTTCTCCAGCGGTTTCCACATCTGCTTCTTTTCCAGCGGTTCCCCGAGGCTTTTCTTCAGCACACACTTGTAGCATTCGGAAGCGGCTTGAACCTGGAAGAAAGGTTTAATCAATTTATTATTTATTTAAAAAAAAAATGGGAACTTGAGAAGGTATACTAGGTATACTCGGTGCGTAGAAATTATGGTCTATATTAATAAGCTACGAAACAGTTTTTTTTAATTTAACAGATCATTTTTGAACGATTTTGGAACTTCTTTTTAATAATTTAAATAAGCTTAGGCTTAAAAATAACCTGTTTTTAGTTATGTAAAATTAACTAAGCTAAATCTAAAATAAATTCATTAATTGTCAATTTTGATCAACTCACATTGATAGTGCCTTGTGAGACTTCAGCACTTATTAAAAGGTATAAATCGATCGCCACATTTATAAAATTTGAAACAATTTTTCTGTAACAATTTGCTCAACGGGATTGTTTTAATCTTTCATATGCTTAAAAATAAATTATGGATTTTAACTTATTTTGCGATCTAAGGGTTTAAATTAAATTACTATTTCATTTTACATTCATTAAAAGCAAGAAAATATCGCACGAAAATTTATCAATTTCGAAACATTCGATTGTATTTTAAAAAATGAATTTTTATGATTTTTTTCACGTTATTTTTCTGAATAAAAGCCTTCTTGCTTTATAGATTATTATTATTAAAAATGAAATCATACTTGATCGTGCAAATCCGAGAAGTTTCCGGTAAATTCGTCCATCTTCATGCCGAGCGCCGTCTCCAGTTTCTCGAGGTTGCACATCATGTCATCGACCTTGACACCGGTCGCCCGGCAGCGGCTGCAGTTGTACGTTTGCGTACACCATCTACGCTGAAAAAATCGAAAAGTGAAGTTGTTCTTTCTCTCTGGCGCTCTCCCCCTCTCTGGCGCGCTCTCTCTCCCTCTCTCTCTCTCTCTCTCTCTCTCTCTCTCTCTGCGTAATCACTAATTACAAGCTGATTGGGCAAAGTTGATGAGTTCGTTTTCCCGCCATTTGAAATTGTGCGAAACATACAATTTTTCAATATTTACAGCAGTACTGTAGGAACACTATAATTTGATTTTCATTTCTACAAACCGATACTTCATGGAACTCTATCCTTTCCAAGTTAAAATTAAAAATATTTGCAAGCCTACCACCATGATTTAGTTCTGAAACTCACATTCTGCGAACGGCGGGCGACCATCGGCGGCTTCTGCTCTGCCATTGTCGGTTAGAGGCGCCGCACTATTAAAAATTATCGTTAAAATCACCAATATTGACGGTTTGAGAACCGAAACATTATTTTGCTATCAACAAGTGATGACACTCACATTGAAACCGTAAAAACACAAAACGTAAAGTTATTTACCTAAAACATATTTTTAATGCGGGCCGCGTCTGGCAATCTAACTGTAAAATGTAACTATTTTTAAAAGGGAGCTATTTTTAAGAAATTGATAGTTAATTTTTGAAGCTATTGTACGTTTATTATAATCCACTCAGCGAGAAGCGGAAAAATCAATTTTAGACAGGCCTCACACAGGATCGTCAGCGGCTGGGAGGAAATGCTATTAAATCCAAGAGATGGAACATTTTTTTAACAACTTATTAGCCATTTTCCGAATAGCATTTTAATTATAGCAATTTTTTATGACAACTAATTGTTGGTACAAATAATGTGTTTTAACTGAATTTATAAGTACCCCGTGTTTAATTATTATTAGTGGTCTTTGAGTTTTTAAGCCCAGCTTCGGAATCGAAATAAGTCGGCGTCTGAATCGATAAACTAAATCAAAGTCGAAAAGAATAAATAAATGCTTGAGGATTAAAACAGGATTATCCAAATGAATTCAGTTCGACATCGGAAAAATGGAATCCGGGGCAATTCCTTGCAGCAAAAGATTCTCCTTATCAAGCGGGTAGTGTGACGCCGCCCGATCGATTTGCCCTTTCACCCCACTCCAATTTTATGGCAAAAAAAGCGCGAGATTACTTGAGACCTGAAAATTTTTTGAAACAACATTTTTCTACAGAAGCTCCTGCAGGTGCCGAATTTACGGTAATTCCTATTGATTCCGCCAATAGCTTGTAATTGTAATACGATTGAATGATTGATTGAAGTGTTTTTGAAACATTTTTCCTAAATATTTTTTTGCAGGTGCATCAGTTACGGTAATTCCTATCGACACCCCCAATCGCTTGTCGCGCTAATTGTGATCCGATTTGGCACCTTGCCATACCTATAATTGTTCTCCACCAGTGTCAACCCAAGAGTTGTCTATTTTGGGGGCGCGAAATAGGGGGCAGCTGCAGATTGCCAGCGGCGATAAACACTGGTGTTTCAGCTGGAGACAGAGATAACCGGCGAATAATATTCGCAATGCCGCGTGGCTCGCGCAGAAAAAACACCCCCTCCAACCTGAGGCAGAAGCGTCGGATCGTGACGATATTTACACCATTCGAAGGCCCTTAAAACGGTGAGCTTGCAACAAGCTTCAAAACCATCAGTTTGTTTGAATGCATGATTTTACAAGCCATTTTCTAAAATTTTCCGGTTTTTTTGGGGTTGCAAACGAGCTAATTTACCTCAATTTCTCCTAGAAAAATGACCGTAAACAGCCCTTAATTAGAGACAGAAGCTTTCATAATTTTTTTGAATCAGCTATAAAATGGCGTGTTTAAAAAGAAACATGGTTTTAACGATTGTGGCAAACTCGCCGTTTCCAAGGCTTTCGAATGGTGTAACTGCGCTTCCAATCCGACTTGAGTTAGAGGCAATTTAAACTTTAGCCTGGATATCTGAATTATCTTTTATTAATTACGATGTAGTTTGCAAAAGTGTCATTTTTATTTTCAATAAAATGCGATTAATAAGACGAAAATGACTAAAATGCTGTAATGTACGTCCCAAAAACTTTTCGAAAAAAGCATACGTTTCATAAAAATGCCGTGCGGAGCTGACCGGCAAATCGGCGATTATGATTTGAATAAGGATCGAAAAACTCTCAAACATATATTTAACAATTCGTTATTTATATATTTTAAACAGCCATCGGGTAGTGCTGGAGGTGGGCGGGCATCTCCATCAGCCGGAAGCCGTGGTGGTGTTTGTTGGTTTTGTCGCGCTGCCGTCGATTCTTGAACCAATTCGAGATCTGGAATACGGTACTGAACACGATAGCCTACGAGATACTACAAATTACGGCATTAACTTGACGCTAAATGTAAATTTGCTACTGATTTAACCGATTTCGATTCTTTCAATTTTTCGAATAATTCTGATTTCTTTAGAAATTAATATAGCCGATTGGCTAATTCTGGGTATGCAAATTCCATCTTTATAATATTTTTAAATTAAGAGAAAATTTTGTAAATATTTGCTTTTTCGTTTTCTAAAATTTATCAGATGCATCCAATTATCCACTTCCAAAAAAAATGTTTCCTGATATTATTAGGACGAAAGAAGTGCTGAAGTTTTGCGGTTTTTTTTTTGAAAAAATGTTTTGGAATTCCATTATACAAAAATAATGGCAAAGCCGTTAATAGTTCGTTCTCCGTGCGTCTGGAACCCTAATAAAATCAGGTTTAAAAATTGTTTAAGCAGGCTAAGAATTAATTTATCCACTTTAGAATTCGTTATAATAGCGCAAATTATGTATTTTTAGCCTTCTTCAAAAGGGTAATCGGCCCCAAAAAATTTTTGGAATTTTTTACAAAAAAATGTTTCGCAATGTCTTTCGTTAAAGTTTGTGGCTAACCCAGTATTGACTCCAACTGGTCCGTTTTAATGAATAATTAAGGCATCAATTAAAATAAACAGAAAAATAACACATAAAATCTGACCTGGACGAGCTCGAGCTCGGTGGCGCGGGAGATCTCGCGTTTCTGCTCGAGATTCGGGTACGGGTTTTGCTTGTAGAATTGGCGGAGGAACTGGAAAAGTGTTATTAGTTTCCTATGAATTAATTATATCGCGAATTAAGTAAATCAATTATATTCAAAGTTTGAAGGTTTTTGGCTACGCTGGGCAAGCTAGCAGAGGTCATTTGTGGAAAAATGCATGGCAACGGAAAAAGAGATGTCGAATTGACTGCCCCAAAATCTACCCAGTGCCAAAATTGATGCAACACATTTTTTAAAAAGATTTAAATCGATTGAAATGTTTAAGTTAATTTTGAGCAGGCTTGCAGCGATTGTTCGCGAACATTTAAAATTAATTAAAAGCGAATAAACAACCTTTAATCATATAGGACCAACTCAAGTCATGCATTAATGATAGACTTTTTGTCGCGATTATGAAAATTTGTGAAACAGATTTTTTCGAAAAATTCATGAACGCGTTTGTTTCTTGGGATTTTCCATGATAAAAAAAAGCGCTAAGAAAGCCAAGAAAAGGATAAAAAATGCTAAAAAACTCAAACAATGTGCGTTTTCTACAGTACACCCACCTTTCTGCTGTTCTCCTTGAACGAGTAGATCGTCTCCTGGCCATCCCAAATCGAGCGCGGCGGCGGGTGTTTTCTGAAAAAACGGAGTTTTTAAAGGACAATTGAAGGCAGTGAGGCTGGATTTTTGACTGACCAGTGATTGGCGCCATGGATTAAGTCACTACCCCGAAATCATACCCGTCCTCCCGAAATAATTTACGCCCATTGGGACGAAACATCAACGCTTTTAATGATCCAAAAATAATGGAATTTTTCGAAACATCGATTTTAGGAACTTCAATTTTCAACGAAATTTGCATATTTCATTTTCTAATACGCGAAGTCCGCGGCAGTTTCTAACGTGCTGATTGAACTGTATTTCTAAAGATAGATAAACCTCTATGACTAGATAAAACTTTAATGAATATCCCATACCTCCTTAATCGATACTTCTCGACGGCGCCGAGCACTTTTTGCCGCTTATTCTCGTTCTAAAGATACTTTAAATTCCATTATATTTAAAATACAAATCAATAAATACGTTGCAAAATCCAGAAACGTAATGGCAATTACGATACCTCCTGGTAATGCGCCATATACCAAATGTCCTGCAGGTCCTTGTAGTTTTTCTCGTGGAATGACCCGTTGCTGATTACTGCAAGAGGTTTGCTTTTTTTAAATACCCATTTTAGGGTTCAGGAAAATTTATTAAGGTATCGAAAATTACGATAGTAAATAGTGGATTTTTATTAGGTTGAATTTTCACCAGCGATCAAAGCGCCCAATAAGTGTGCAATAAAAACCACGCGGAAATCACTAATTTTCTGAAACATCACATTTTACATATTTTTCCAAAAAGCTATTTTACAAATTTTTACTCGCGGATTTAACACATAATTTTTATATTTTATGTATGTAATTAATCTTTTTGCAGATCCATTTTTTCAGTAGATGTGGATTACGACCTGAAAATATCCTTTAGAATGGCTCGGGTATGAAACATTGATTTTCATTAAATTTTTTATAAAGATTTTTTGAGGTTTTGTCATCCTTAGGCACTTTTCCTACGTTTATTTTTCAATTTGAAATCGTTAAATAAATTTACCTAATTTAAAAATTATAGCAAACTTCTCCAGCGTACTAACCTGTAAATAGGGTCTCAAATTGCCCGGCTTCGTGCAATGCCAGGATGTAGCCTGAAATAATATTCGTATTCATACTCTCATTATTATTCTTATTTTTATTGCGATTATTTTTCATGAAGATGATACTATATATTTTATAATATAAAAAAATTAAAACCTACCCAAAATCACCGCCTCCGAGCGCCACTCTGCTCGAAGAAGTTGCTGGTCTCCGAACTGGGAAAATAGGGCGACGAGTTGGGCACCGTCACGGGCTTGGAAAAGCGTCCAGCAGATGCATTCGATCTCAAATTAGAATAAATGATAAGAAGAAAAATTCGAAAATTTCCTAACAAAAATTTGTTTCAGCGTTTCGCAAGGTCCTCTAAGAAATGGCATCAGGAATTGGCGGCAGTTACCGCAACGAATCAGCCCCAAATATTTGAATCCACAAGGATCTGGTACTGGAATGTGGGCGGTGGAGGGGCTAATTTTTATTTTCCGCCTATACCAATCTGTTAATCATATATCAAGTGTTTTTGTAGGTTTTAAACAGTTTATGATTGGTAGAAAAAATTGTAAAACTTTGAAAATTGGAAAATTTTTAGTTCTTGGTTGTTTTTCATAAATATTTGGTCATGGCCAAAATTCCTTCCGGAAAGACTCTCTGCTAG